AAAGTATTTTTGGTAATTCTTATTTTCAGATTTGATATAAATGACGTGTATATATGTATAATAATGTTTATTACCATTTTATTTAGAAAGTAAAAGTTTTAAATTTCAAAAAAAAAACAATGAATAACTTTGTCTCGGTCAATTTCACTTTATATTAATAATCTATATCAATAACTAACTTGTATTTTTGTGTATTTTGTATAATAAAGATAAATATTATAATCAATATTATTTGACATAATTTAATTTATTATCCACGTATTAACCTCAATAATAAAAGCGGAATTGTAACCTTCAATTTTAAATTTTGAATCGCGTCTAGCATTTCCAATTTTCCACAATATATGGGACACGTTTTTTATTTGCTATATTAGATAAGGATTTATTAATTTTATTTTACGCATAATATATTTTTAATTTGAATCTTTGCCTATCTTTTCCACCTAAATAGGGTTAAGTTATAAATTTAATATTATTTTATTGGTTGTTACTTGTATTATTGGCTAAATGGTTTGTACGTTTTAAAAAAATAATATTATTATATTGAAGTTATTATTAGAAATAGTGAGATTTCCTTTATAATGTATTATATATATATATATATATATATATATATATATATAGAGAGAGAGAGAGAGAGAGAGAGAGGGTGGGGTTCAATAGAGAACCATAATTAACCAAGGAACCAATAAACCAATCTTTTTTTCAACTTTTAGAACTTAGTTTTTATCAAAATAAAAAAAAAACTAAAAATACAGAAATTAATAGCTTTTTATCCTTTTTATAATGATATCAAATTCGATAATTTTTTTTTCGTCAAATTCACAATGTGAATCTAAATTCACACGGTGAATCCGAAAAATATATTTAACATTCACAATGTTAAGTTATGAATTTAGATATTTTTAGTTTTTTTTCGATAAAGAATAATCTCTAGAACTTAAAAAAAGATTTGGTTCATTGGAGAACCAATAATTATGGTTCTCTATTGAACTTTTCCATATATATATATATAATATATATATATATATATATATATATATTATATATATATATATTATAAGTTAGCTTTTGTAATATTCTATTTAATTTTATAGAGTTCAATACATTTTAGGAAAAAAAATGATAGTGTTGTATGAATTGTAGAAAGGTGATGTGACATACCAAAGGGCTTCTAGCTCAGCGGTATCATGTGGTGTCCTCACTCATTGAGGTTGAGGATTCAAGTCTCGTCTGAGACATAGATGAATTTAGGAGTAGTTTAGAAATATATTGTATTTTCCGTTCAAAAAAAAGTAATGTCACAATCCTCTATGAATTTTAATGCATTATGGATGCCCTAATCCTTTGTATAGAAACATAATAGAGCTACCAAAAATAGTAACAGTAGGCTTAACCATCCCCTTTTGAGAGTGCATATCTATATATACCACATAAAGTGTTGACTCCGCTTGAATCATGTTTTAGAATGGTGGTGCCTTTGGGTGGTGATGTGATTGTGAATACTAGTTTTGGCTCTCCATTCTCTCCACATTGTTGGCGTCCATTTTTTTGGTTTAGATTTTAATGTGTCATAACTTTGATTTCATGCCTCCAAGTTCGCCTATATTAATTAAAAGAGTTATGTGCAATAAAGAAAAATAGAAACAATGACGTAAAAATCAAAAGAACATTAGGAGTATTTCATGTCACTTAACATGAATTTTAGATTATCAGGTAAAAAGAATTGAGATCCCATATATATGAGAAGACATAATCTATGAAATCACTAAAAAATCATAATCTATGAAATCAGTAAGTGCAGTATCAAAAAGACAATAAACCACAAATGTGGCATTTGGATTAAAAAAATCATTCAGCCATTTCATCAAACACTCTATATGCATCTAAATCAACAGATTTGTTAGAAAAGCAATACATACACTGATATTGGATTCCGATTGTTGATGAATTATGCTTCGAAATCACTTCACAACATTGATCGATTCTGTTGCAAAAGCCATGTTAATAATAGTCGGCAAAAAAGCTGGGGGACATGGTCCCATTCATCGTTTCGCCTATGTATTGACACATTTGTTGCATGCATGGTTAGCAATAATTGAATCTTGATCATAATATGTTAATATATGATGAAATATTTCATATTTTGATTGAAAGATCGATATGTTTGTCATGCATAGAAATGGATGGTTAAGAATGAGAAGGGGTTTGAAAATTGTAATGCAAATTAAACTTCCTTAATATTTGTATAAGTATTATCCGAGAATTTCTCCAAAACTTCATGATCTTCCTCCCCCTTCCCCTTGGCAAGTTTCTTTCAAAGCAAATTAAAATAATAAAGAAGAGTGAGGTTTCTAAATTTAGAAAAAAAAAACGCCTTCAATCTTTCTCTTTCTCTTTCTCTTTCTCCCTCATCCTAATGATATTCCCAAAAACAACATTTTGAGCTTGTTCATGTTATCTTCCTCCCAAAAAACCAGGCTGACCTCCTGTCACCATCCTTCCTTCTGTTATTCGCTTTTTGCAGTCGGATCTCTCTCGTTTCAAGAGAAAAGAAAATTCCCCATTCTTTTTCCTCCAATTTAATGGTGTATCTCATGTAGAAAACAAGAAAGGCGAAAGATCTACACATCTGAGCCAGAAAGCGGGATCACAAAGACGCAACGGATCCCTCGAGGTATTTACGTTTGATTATATTCTCCTAACACATGCATCTATATATATACGTTATGTTGAATAGCATCAATCAGAAATATCGTTGAACTTTGATTCGTGATCATATATAGCTTTTATTAATATCTTGTCGTGATTTTGATTTATGTTTTATCTATATGAATCAAAGGTGGATAACCGGAAACAATGTTTAGTTTTCAAATAAGAACTCGTCCAAATGTGGCAACTTCTCCTTCAAAACCAGCAGCTTCTCCCTCTCCATTAACAGGTTCTCCCAAAGGCTCTCCTGTAGTTGGAGAGATCGATACAAGGGCACCTTTCCAATCTGTCAAGGCTGCTGTTAATTTATTTGGAGAAACATCACCAAAATCAGGAAAACCCGCTCTCAGAAGATCCAGAAGTAAAAATGATGAGGTATATATATATATAATATATTGATATATTGATATAGATAAAGCAAGGAATTTGTATATATATTTCGTTATGCATGCATGCATGAATGGGTTGAATTCTCATGTACATAATTATATGTACTTGTTTTATGGTTGATACAGAAAGTGTTGGAGAAGGAGACAGAGCTACATTGGACATTAAAGGAGCTTGATAAGTATAAAGAACTTGTAAAAAGTTCAGAAAGTATAAAAGCTCAAGCACGTCGTGACCTAGAAAAGGCAAGGACCACGTTGCATGAGCTAACTAGCAAGTTAGAGATAATAGGTGAAGATAAACATGCAGCCCTTGAGATCACTGAGGCTGCAAAGTATAAAGCTCAACAACTGGAATTGTTAAAATCCAGCAGCACAGAAGTAAGTAATGATGGTTGGGAAGAAGATCTTGACATGGAGAGACAACATTATAGAGCCTCTGCTAATGAGCTAATCTCAACAAAGCAAGAACTTACTAACCTTAAACAAGATTTTGATGCAGCTTTAGAAGCAAAGTTGGCTGCTTTTCAACAGGCTGCAGATGCCCAACATGCTGCAAAAGTTAACAATGAGAAAATGGTTGGTTTAACTAAAGAAGTTGACCAAATGCGTGAAACCCTTCATCGGGTGAAACTTGCTTCTCAGAAAGCTCATGAAGAGCATCTCAATCTTATAGAAGAGAAAGATTATCGCATAGAGTCAACCAAGAAAGCCAAGGAGGAACTTGACTTGAAAATCGAGTCGTTGAGAAAAGAACATCAACTTTCAGAACTTAGGATTTTAGGACAAAAGCTAGAAGAAACAACCGAAGCGATTAACGTTTTAGAGGAACAATTACGAGAGGTGCGTGTAGCAGATAAGGAGACTTTAGAAAATGCAAAGTTAGAGGTTGTAGAAGCCAAAAAGAGACTTGAAGAAACAAAAGAAGAACAGGTTTCAGTTGCAGCTGTGGTGAAGACATTAGAACAGGAGCTTGAGAAAGTGAGGCGGGATATTAATTTGTTGAGGGGAGACGATTTGAAAAGGGAAGAACAGCAAGCTGAATTAAACAGAATTAAAAACGAAATCGAAGAGGCTTCATTTGAAATAACAAAAGCAACAGATGGTATCAAGGAACTAGAACTAAAGATTAAAGAAATGGTATTAGAAGCTGAAAGAGCAAAAAAAGAAGAAGAGAGCGCTAAAGAACAAACAGAAGCACTCAACAAACAAGCTGAAAATAACAAGGATTCCAACAAAGAAGCCGAAGAGAGTCTGGAAGTTGCTCTTAGAGAGCTTGAAAAAGCAAAAGCAGCACAAGAGCTTGCTAATGAACAAATACAAAAAAAGACTTCAGAGAAGGATCAAGCTGGGAATGATAATAACAATATGATCAAGATCTCAACCGAAGAATATGAAGCATTGAAAAGGAAAACAGATGAAGCAGAAAAAGCTGCTGATGAAAAAATAGCAACTGCTATGGCTCAAGTGGAGACAATTAAGAAAAGAGAAAAAGAAACACTTGAGAAGCTGGAAAAGAGCACAGAAGAGGCTAATGGTATAGATGAGGCCTTAGCTGATGCTTTAAAAATGGCTGAAATGGCTGAAGCAGCAAAAGAAGCTATCGAAAGTGAACTCAAAAAGTTTAAATATAAGGATCAGAAAGATGGTAATTAATCAATCAACACATAGATTTGATCAGACTAAATTCTTTTGATCATATCTTGTATATCTGTATCTTGTCACCCTTAGTTTTAGTGGATGACAGATGTTTCTCATCACTTGTAATGATACATACAATAGGTGCAGTGGTACGTAACTTTGCATGTATATATATGTATACAAAAACAGCCACCTTAATTTGTAATTGTAACAACAGAAAGTAGTACAATAGGATGATTTCTTTATTATGCATCTCTATATGTACAATCACATCGAAATACCTAGATTATTACATTACATTACATACATTGCTTGTTTTTCACCACATGCTTGTAATTTATGAGAAAACACATCAAAACAGAAGGCCAAATTCAAGGCCATATACATACATAATGGTTTAATTAGTTAATTAATCACTGATCTTGATATCATGTAAAGAGATAGAAAGATCATCTTGAGTTTCAAACTTCCTCCATTCAGAAGCCAAGGTTTTGCAGAATTCGGTCTTTTTAGGGTCTGCTAAGGGTAGTTGTACATGCATGGATCCTTGCTTGAAGGGTTTTGTAGGTTCTTGAATCCCTGATTGGTGTTTGATGTAGTTGTATAGTTCTTGATGAAAAGGATGATCCAATGAGAAGCAATCTTCAGTTGTGTTGTTATTAGATCTTCGTGAAGAACCAGACCCTTCTCTTCGACAAAAATGAGGAAGGGCAGAATAGTCCATTATCTACACCAGGTAAAAAATAAAATGTTAGTAAATTCATTTTATCATTGTATTTAGATGAAGAGATAGCAGATAATAAGTTCACCTTCAATAGCTCATCACGTCCACAGCCTTGCAAGACTTGAACTTTCAACTTTGTTCGCTCTTGCAAAAGGGGTTTTACAACCTGCAAATAATTTGAAAAAAAATAAAATTGTTCATATTTTTCGTTCGAAGAAAATTGAACATTTCAAAGTTTAATGTTTTTGTAAGTTATAGAGCTGACCTTCCAACAAGCTGAAAATATGTATGGAACATTGACTATATAATATGTGATTGTCTTCTCAGGATAGTTGAGGTCATCAATGGTAGAGATAGTTGTTAGTAGCTGCAGTTATGAAACACAGATGGTATTAGGGCCTAATGCAAGAAATAGTTTTTATAAAACCACGTACTTTTATTTGGTTCAATGCAGATAGTTTGAGGCCACTCATATCTAAAACCTTCACACACTTGCCGATATATCTTCCATGTTTCTTTGTTGCAGCAGGCTACATTACAATTAAATTAATAAATTCAATTTCAACACATTTAATTCTTACAAGCTAATGAACAATATAAAAAACTATCCTCACCAATATTACACGATCTCGATACTCGTTAATTTGAATATGCGATTGCACATAGTAGTTAACCTGCAATAAATACATGAAAATAAAACCAAAAGACTTTTTTATGTAGTTTTTAGTCTAATAAAACTTCTTGAGTTGTAAAAAGGGAATAAGAAGGGAATATAATAAAAAAGTCTTACAGATGCTTTATCAAATGTGCTGAGACCTACACCGATAGCAAATACTGGAAGACCCTGTTGTAGACAAAATGAGTAAATCTCAGTCAAGTTGCATTTAATCATATGAAATTGAAAGCAAATGCGCACCTCTTTTGTATAACCAGAAACTCCTATCAGTTGAGAATCGCGCACTCCTCTGTACAAATTAACAGGAAGTATGGGTTTCTGCACCAAACAATTTGCGAATTATTCGTATTATTATATGAATTTTCGATATTAACTAAGGGAAAATTCTACACCCATGAAAATTGAAATGAATAATACTGATGCTTACAGATAATATGTCATCGATACCATTTTGCAGTCTCCAGTTTAAGCTATCTACCAACTGTATATCAAATTTATGCAAGGATGAGGATCCCTCGTCAATTTCGGGAAGAAAAAAAATGAGATTTTAAAGTAATTGAAAAACCAAGTGTAATTAATTAAGATCGAACCATCTTGTGGGCTTTGGCAACATTCCCCTCTCTTGCTTTTAAGAATCGATCCAAAGTTTCGACTATATATCCCTGATGAACATTCTGTACATAAAGATAGTAATTTCTGGTTAGCAATTTAATTTCTATTTTCTAAAACAAACAGATGTAAAAGTGTAAGAGGAAAGACAAATTGGAAATTAATCGGGAAACTTTTCAAACCTGAAATGTTCTTTTTAGAGGCTCATCAACTGCATATATCCCCGCCAAACAAGGTCAAAAATTAGTAACAGTCATATAAGCAAAATGGTGAAGAAAAGGAGGCAGTTATTAAACAAACCTTGGTCCATCAAGGCCTTCAACTGATTGATTGCTTCATGAGAAACGACACCCATTAGCTTATTTGTTGGTTCTTCAAAACCAAATGGTTTTTGTGAAGAAATATCACGATTTTTTACTTCAAAGATTGAGACTTTTTTGAAGTTTCTAAGCATTCTGTAGGTCTTGTATCGACTCTTTGGGCATTTTCCATTTACTACTGATATAGCGAAAGGGGACTATTCTTCTTCTTTTATTAGTAGTAGGTGCCAGGAGAGAGAGAAAGAATTTATTTGTATTGTAGGGTCAAGAAAGGCAGGTACGAAACCGTCGTCATTCTATTTTTTCTGATGTCCTGTTATGCTTTTCCTCCCGCTTTTTTCTTTCAAGAAATAACGTCGAATTTAATGTCCTGATTGGGTTGGATGGAAAATGGAGTAAATTACGGTTCATGTTGTTTGCTTGGATCTGTAATTTTAGTTCAAAGTTTTGATATTTTTTATATTGTGGTCCATCTCGTTTTCAGATCTTACACGGTGAAATGACATTTTGGTCCTCAGACTAAAATTGATAAAAGTTACTTTAGGTACCATTTCTGAATTTTCGTTCGATAATCTTGACACGATTTAGATTATCTTCTAAATCGTGCCGCAATTTTAGATCATTACATATTTTTCATCATTATTCTCGATTGTTACGGTCAATATAGCTCCAAAAGATGTTTTTCTGTAGCCCATTAGTACCCAACTCGATGGCAAGAGTTATGTCTATTAGAGTTATGTTATAAAGATTTTTTTTGCGGGGGAAGGATATGTGGAGAATTGTGCTAGATACAAAGGGCAAACCAATGAGAAAACTGCAAATTATGCAACCTTATTGGACTTGTGGGAGACACATAACTCCAACATTGTCACTTGGATTAACAATTATGTAATTCATTCTATTGACATAGAGTTAGCAAAGTATGACATAGCAAAAGAAGTTTAGGATCACTTAAGTAGATTGTACACAGTCTAATTTTGCAAAACAATATCAATTAGAGTTTGATATTTAAGCCCTCCAACAAAATAATATGAGTATTCGAGAGTTTTATGTATTTATATCTAATTTGTGGGATCAGTTGGTTTTTACTAAACATGTTGATCTGAAATACTTCCAGCCTTACATTGCCAAAAGGGATGTGCAATGGTTAGTTCAATTTTTTATGGCTTTACATTTTGATTTTGAAGGCTTGCGTGGATCTATCTTGCATTGTACCCCTCTTCCCACTGTTGATCCGGTTGTTCATGAGTTGATTGTTGAAGAAACTCGTATCAAGTCTCAAGCTGAAAAAGGGTCTAAGACAACCACCACTCCAATTGTTTTTGTTGTTCCATAACGACCTCAAGACTCAAATTAGAATCACCATAAAGTTACATTTGATGAGTGTGCCTTTTGCAAAAAGAAAAACCATTGGAAATCTCAGTTTCATTTGTTGTTGAGCAAGGGAAATCAGCAGGAACAACAAAGCAGACCAACTAGACAGTTTCAGCCTCCACAACAAAACCGGTCTTCCGGACAATTCTTGACACGCCCCTTTTTTCCACCATTTCATCCACTTCAGTTTTTACTATTGTTGTTGCACCTTCAGTAGAGGCTGAAACAACAATTACACCACCATCGGCTTTGGATCCTCAAGTTTTTAAACAGTTCAGATAGTTCCTTGCCTCCAATCCTACTATCATGTCAGCATCTACATCTTACTCAAGTTTGTTTTCATCCAGTACTTCAGGTATTCCTGCATCCTTATGAATATTAGATTCAGGTGTATCTCATCATATGTCACCATATTTGTCATCTTTTGCGCCGTCATCTTCTGGTTCACCTATTTCTGTTATGTCAACTATTGTTACAACTGTACTAGTAGAGGGTGTTGGTTTTGTTGTTACTGCTCATATATCTTTGAACGATGTCTATTATATTTAGACACTTGCTTCAAGGAAAAGTAGGAACGAATTTGAGGTCCCAAGGGGTCCTATTTATAGTTTAGGTAACTTAGGGACAAAACAAGATTTGAATGAGCAAATAATATATTTAATCTCAATTCAAATCATTTCCTTATTATCATCCAGGAGGCTTCTAGAAACCATACAAAGGCTCCCAAAACCGTCCACCTTGATGGCAGGTTCTAGATTTGTCTTTCCTTGCTCAACTATGAACAATTACAATTTACCCCTTACACCTTTAATTAATTCCAACTAATCTCAAATTAATTCCAGATTAATCATTAATTAATTCCAATTGATTTCTTATTAATTTATTAACCTTATAAATTTAATAAATCAATTGTCTATTTCCAATTAATATATTAATCATAATATATTAACAAATTATTTATTACAATTTATTAATCATATAATAAACTAATAAATGTATATCATTTCTCTCTCTAAATGTCATTCTAACTGAGTTCTAGTTATGAGGGCAATCCAAAAAGGACTTTGCTTTTAACTACAAGAAGATACCAATTTAGTTATTGGCTTAGACACCTTAATCCAATAAGTTACCCCAACCTCTTTGTGGGGAAAATTTAAGGTGCCTCTCTGTGAGGACAAGTTAAGGCGCCTCTTTGTGAGGTCAAGGTTAAAGGTCTCTTTGTGGGACAAGGTTCAAGGTGCCTCTTTGTGAGATCAAGGTTAAAGGTCTCTTTTTGGGACAAGGTTCAAGGTGCCTCTTTGTGAGGTCAACGTTTTATGTCTCTATGTGGGACAAGGTTAAAGGTGCCTCTTTGTGAGGTCAAGGTTAAATGTCTCTTTGTGGGACAAAGCCTCATACCCGAAAGGGTCAAGGGGATAAGGTTACCAAAGCTCTTCGTTAAGATAGCTTCATGTATATGTGCTTATGTGGTAGAACAGGTAGATTAAGTGTACTCAATAAGCTTTCACTTACATGTTGATATTTAACCTCTTTTACGTTCTAAAGGGGTAGATAAGGGAAGAGTCAAGTCTAATTTTTATGTGCTCTATATGATTATTTTAGAGTTATTATGTTTTAAAATACCTACATTATGCTTTTATGTTCAAATATTTTAATGATTTCTCATTATGTTTAAGACCGATGTATTTGGAGAATATTTTATCAAGTTTTCTAGAAGATCTTATTTAAAAATTATTATTTTTAAAAAATATCTAGGTGTTATAGTATGACAATCTAAAAGATCCCAACCCTCTTGCTTTATCGCATCTAGTTTTCTTCAACTCAAGGGTAGATGTAATTTCTTATAGTAAAGATAATCTCCGATTTGATCTTCTAGAATCCAAAATCAAGGCCTTCAAATTTATCCATCATAATATTTATGTCTTTAGCCATATCTTTGATACCATTTGTTGGGTATTCATAAGTAAACTCGACAAACATAAGAACACAATATGTGTGATAATGTTTAAGAAAATTAAACAAGACAAGAAGGTTCGATGTGGTTTACCTGATTAAGAAACTCAGATGACATCCACAGTTAAACAAGATAGATTTCTTTTATTGATTGATGAATGATATGCAAATCTAAGTATTTACTGCACTCAAAATGTAGGCTCACAATCATGTTCACGCTTAAGGTTACAAACAAATCATATGTACTTATAGTGTCATTGACCTAAAATTTTGAGTTGGACCAATGGTCTCATGATAGGCTGGCATAAAGGTAAACTGGTTCTCTAAGGTTGTAAAGTCAATACTAAAGTTCTACACCGAAATTCCTTTGTTTCCACTCCTAACCGAAGATTTTAGGAACACCATAATAGAGAATATGCTTCGGAACCTCTGACCAAAGACTTCACTATGCGCTTCAGAATCTCTTACTATGAGTGTACTCTATATTTCTCCCTAAACCGAAGTTATAACAACAACTTCTCCTTCATGTTTTAGGTTCGAGTCCACATCTCAACAATTATGATGTCTCCTTTATTTGGGTCATCCCTAAGGTGGATGATATTGTTTCATCATCAAGTTATCAACAAATTAGTTTTATCAATTCCTTTTACAAAATTATCATTAAATCTTTGCCAGAAGATAATAATGGGTTACCAGGTAGGTCATAAGTAAGGAACAAATGACTTTCATAAAAGGCATATTCATTTTTTATGGATCCCTTATTATGAATGAGGTCTTCTCTTATGAAAATATTTAAGCCATAGACTTTCATTTTCAAAGTTGTCTTTGAAAAAATATTGAATTCTTTTAATTGGACTTTTCTTGACTTGTTTATCGAGAAAATGAGTTCAATATGAAATAAAAGATGATAGATTTTGGGATGCATTTTGTTGGTGAATATGTTAGTACTTATCAATGGTTCTCCCTCGTTACAGTTTCAAATAGAGAAAATGATTAGACAAGAAGACCCCCTCTTTTATTTTCTAGTCTTTATATCTGTAAAAAGTCTTCATAATACTATTTAAGAGGTTAGAGAAAAAGGGTTGTTACAGAGAGTCTAGTTTCTAAATTATTGGCCAGTTATTTCTCATCTTTAATTTGCAGTCTATGTAATTTTACTTAGGAAATGGTCATCAAATAATGTTTGGAACATTGTAACACTTGAATCCTGATATAGTTCTTATTTTTCCCTTGTTATTGAAAAGTTTGCATTTTGGTCCTTGGGAAGTACGCTTAGCGTACAAGTTGTAAAGCGAGTACGCGGGGCATACCACTTGGTACGCTTAGCGTACTGATGCGAGGTTGGTACGGGACTCCGGACAAGTATGAGGGGCGTACATGCATGTACGCGGGGCGTATGTGTAAGTTAATGAAACTCTAATTTAGGGGTAGTTTGGGGAACTCACTAAGATTTGTGCTTATGGTTTTCAGTTTACGTTTCAGGTACTTCTGGTTCCAAGGGGAAGGGCACGGGATGACTGCATCGCACACACCACATGGATTTCGCTTTTAAGATATTACTCTGATTGATTTGATGTTTGATACACTTAATTTCATTTGGTTTGTATGGATAATTTTTTTGGAATACTGTTTTAATTAAATAAAAAATGAAACTTTTGGATCATATTTTTGGGACGTTACAAACATTGTTCACATTATGTATTTCTTCCATTTGGCTTCTAGTCTTTAAGCCAACATGTCAAAAACTAAACTTTATATAATTTGTGTTAACAACAATAATATCACTTCTTTGGTTGTAGAGATCAATTTGAGGAATGTATGTTCTTGTTCATATATCTCAGCCTCCCAGTATGAGTTTCTATGTCTAAAACATCACACCCAATTATTAAAAAATCAATGTA